CAATAAATCAAATGATCCGTGCGGTTTCAAAAAAAAAAAAAAAAAAATTAAATTAAATTAAATTAGGTTATATTATTTGACATTTTCTTTGAATAAAAAAAAAAGGAAATATTTTATGGCGAAAAAAAAAAATTTTTTTTTTTTCAAGTTGTACAGAAAAAAATCTTTTTTGTGCGCCCTGTTATACTTTGATATACATACGCTACGAACTCCGTCTTTCTCTTTCAGTATACGATAATCAAACGTTGTGGCTCATTATTGTCATACCCATAATTCATGCTTTTTTAGTCGTGCCCACTTTCCAAAAGTGTTATGGTATTTTTTTTTTGTTTGAAGGAAGATATTTTGTCAATTTCAATTAGGCAACTATCGTCGAAAATTAATTTTTTTACAGGTGGTCCTTTAATTGTGCATTCAAATTAATAAGTGGAATGTAAAATGGATGCTCAGTACGTAAGAAACTATTTATGGTTTAAAGAATTTTCATATATTATATTATATAATATATTGTTTTCTTTCATATAAATTACTATATAAGTTACGTTATTTTTTTTTAAAATAAAAAAAACTAAAATAATTTATATAAAAAAAAAAAATTTTTTTTTTCATAATAGCATATATAATAGCATATATAATACTGTGGCACTTTCTTTTGTTACCAATGACACATAAACATATATAGTATTTTATATAAATAACCTTTTTACAAAAAAAAATTTTTTTTTCACGCCCCATGAAAATTTAGTTGTACAGTATAAATTACATTATATGATACAGTGTGTTTTATATATTGTACAATGTTTGCCAATTTGATCCGTGCTTTTTAAAAACTTTTTTTTTTTTAAAAAAAAAAAAATATTTTTTTTTCTGATCTGTAGGATCCAGATGTGTAAGAAAAGGTAGGTCCAAACTGTATTCTCACCTTTTTAATAGCATATATACATAAAATATATACAAATAAATAAATAAGATTTAATTTACGCATATTTCAATTTCATTTCATTTTATTTTGATACATTTGATACTTCAATTTCATTTTTTTTTTCTCTGATGATATTCTACGATTCTTTTGAATACTTTTTTTTTATTAATTTTCTTTCTTTTATTGGTAATCCTTTATAAAATGTAAATGAAAATAAATTTTTTTGTGACACAGTTTCAATAATATATTTATTTTAAAAAATCGTTTTAGAGTACCCATATAAATAATTTTCAATTGAACCTTAAGCATGTGATCTATAAATATCAGCTTTATTACAGTCTTATAAGCCACTACTATCATGCTTATTTTCAGCCAACTCTTACCATATAATATATATGTGAAAACTTTAAATATTTTAACGTAAAAAAAAAAAAAATTCTTTAATAATATTAGTAATAATGTTATTATTATTAACTATTTAAAAAAATTTCTTCATCCAAAATTCTTCTTTTTGTGCCACATTACGAATATCTTTTCTTTCTCTTATTAATTTTTTAATAATAAGATGGTTAGGAATTATAATGAATTACAGTACATCATCAAGCATAATATTTAATGAATATTAATATGAAAAGGAAGTAAAAAAAAATTTATTTTTTTTTTGTAATAAACTTGTTTATGTATATAGTAGACATGTATGCGTAAATTCTTAGCTAAGTTATAATTCAATTATTATTAATTAAATAATATTTATTATTGTTATTTATTATTTATTATTCAGCCAATTTGTATTTCATATAAAGGTTGTAAATTCTTATTATATTACATTATATACATGTTTTGAATGCAAAAAGGAGAACAAAAAAAAAGTAAGCAAAACCAAAACAATTGTAATTAGAAATAAATTTGGATATTTTGAAATAAATGAAATAAACTAAGACGTATTAATTTTATGGTTAGTCTGCCCGGAAAAATGTAAGCCCATTTTAAAGCAAAAACAATCGACTATTTGTTTATATATAACAGATAATAAAAATTTTTTTTATTTATGTTTATGGGTAATATTAGATTAGATTTTTTTTTTTTGTACTTAATTAATTCTAGCAAGTATTATAAAATACATTTATTTATTTTAATATTTCCCCTTTTTACTAAACTTTCTCAAAAAAGGAAAAGTAAGATTATCATTGTACAATAAATAAATTAGTATAAAATTTTTTTTTTTCAATAGCCCTTGTAAAAAAAAAATTTTTTTTTTGTTTTTTTTTTTTTGTTTTGATTGACCCATAATTTTTTCATGCGCGTTTCAAAAAAAAGAAAAAAAAAATTTTTTATTTGTTTAAAAATAATTTCTGGTCCGTGCACTTTTTTTTTAAAAAAATGAAAAATATTTTTTTTTATTTTACTTATATTAATTTATTTTAAATCTCTATTTATAAACAAAAAAATTTTTTTTTTTTATTTTTTTTAAAATAAAATAATAAATTGTTTTACTTTGCCGTTAGAAAAAAAAATTTCAGTTTATTTATATTATTTTATTTTAAAAAAATTTTTTTTTTTTTTT